GAACAATTTGGGGAACTGGCAGGGCAGAATCATGGGAGCCTTGCTTTGCTTTCTCTTACCACTCATGCACTGCCGTCCAGTTGATGCCGACTCAGCTGTTCTATAGGACAGCCTAGCACTGCCCCTGTGAATTTGAGAGACTGCAACTCTTCACGAGGGAGAAAGCTTCATCTTTCTCCTGCTGAATGCCTGTGGTTTTGAATTGCTGACCTTGTGGTCAGCAGCCCAACCAGGGCGCGGTCCTGCCTCTCACCACTCGAAAGCTTGATACCGATTGGCCATATCCTGTCCGTTTCCCATTGGGTTGCTTGCATTGTTCTTACTGCTTTGTAGGGTTTTTTTGTTTGTTTGTTTAAAGCTTTTCCCTGTGAATTCGGGTTTACAGGGCCACCTGTCGTTTTACACTCACCAGCACTTACACCTTCTGATTCAACTCATCCATTGCATCTCCCTTCGTGCGCCCTCCTCCCTCCTTGCTTCCCTCTCTCCTTCTTTCCTAACCTTTGAGTCTTGTCTTTGGATAACAGGGGCTCTTGGTCTAAAAGGGTTGATGATTCGAACGTGGGGTGAGTCCAGCTCCAGAACTGAGGGTGAGGGTCCCGCCAGGCTCTGTCCCACGGAGCCTGGTCTCTTTCATGTTTCTGCGTGTGCCCCACATTTTTATCTCATGGTATCCAGTGCTTTTATACCCACTTAGGATAAGCTTCTGTGGTATTCTGTCACATGCTCACCTTTTCCCTCTTTTCAGAGTTGCCAATATTGAGGCTTTATGTAAGCAGTCCTTTCCAAATTCAGTCTAAAATACATCATCTATGTTTTCTTCTAAGAGTCTACGCATCATTCCCACCAATAATAATATACAGGGGAAATTGATTTTTGGGGGGTTCTGGTTGGTGGCAATGAGATATGGGGCAGGGTCATGCTTCCATGGCTTTGAAGTATTTCTGGTGTTTGTCCAGACTTTTCCTGTGGCCACCACATGGGGTGGGGCTACCTAAAGGGCACGGGCTTCCATACATGCCCAGGAGTCAGCAGTCTCCCAGGGCTCCGAGTCCCAGGCACCAGGTGGAGGGTGCTGCCTTTATGCTGAGCCGGGCTGGGTGAAGAGCAGCAGCCGCCCGTGCGACAGGAGTGTTTCCAGGCTGGCAGAGCTCAGCCACATGCGCATCATCATTCACTGTGAGGAAAGCAAGTTCTAACGCAGCAGGCTGTTAAACGTGAGCCTATTCGTGTACACACACACATCACAAAATGCTCCCAGCTGCTAGGAAAAGGGCTTTGCACCCTCTGTAATGCCAAGAAAATGATGTCCAATGTCACCCTGATGTTGATACGGGCCCATCTAATGAGCTAGAACTGCAGCCCACCCAGGAGTGTCCGAAGCTCCTTAACCACAAGCTCAGAAACTCGAAGGTCACCAGTAGGTGGGCCACGTTACAGTAACAAGCGGCACGCAGTGACACAGGGTTCATGCTCATGGTGCTGTGTGTCCACCGCTGGCCATCACTGCCACTCAGTTTCAGCTCTGGAAGTTCCAGCCGGCCAGAAGAGAAGAGGGCTTCAGGGTGTTGTACCAGCAGCCATGTGCCCTGGGCTGGAAAGGAGACCGTCCCTTCCCCTGACAGCTCCGTATCCTCTATCCGAGCTGGCTCTTTGTTCTGAGCCAGACCCGGGACTGGGAAGGTGGGGTTGGACAGACCCAGAACTCATGTCATCTCACCTCCAGCCAAACTCTGAGGATTCGTGTCCTTTCTCCAAGGCTACACCTGCCCAGATGCTGACTGAAGGGCACTGTGGGTTAGCCACTCCAGGTGCCATCATACTGGACACCTTTGAGAGGTTTCTCAGGTGGGCAATACCCCAGTTCTTAGCTTCGCATGAAAAAGAATTCACGCCAAAGCCTGGTTTGTGATCCAAGTGGGTTTTTATAAAGGACAGGAGAAGTTTCAGGTTTTATAGTCTCAAAAGAGTACATGCTATTTCAGGGAAGCGTGCCAAACCTTGCCTAAGCGGCGCTGGGCTCACAACCAACACGGCCAACCCTGTGGGACTCCTCACCCACACCACGGTGAACTGAGGCCAAAGAGACCGCAGCACTGTGCGGAGGGCGCCTGAGCAGGGAATCCTCTCCAGTCTGCCACTGATCAGGAGCAGCGGGGTCCAAGAGACCCTGCCCGCTGCCCGTGGTATTTTAAACTTCCGGCTGGGGAGTGCGGTGGGAGGTATTGGTCGGCCCCATTGGCTGAATTTCGCCCACCTACGTGGGGCCATGAGCCTGGGGCTAGTTTGGGCCGCCCAGGTGTAACGCCCACCTGGTTTAGGGGGGCCTGTATTGGAGTATGCCCAGTTAAAGTCTTCATGGGTGGCTAGTGCTTGCCTGATTTGTCCTTTCCCAACCCGACCTGTGCAGGCAGGGGTGGGATGGGGGTGGGGGGACAATCCCCTCTGTCCCTGCCTGTCTACCTAACACCCTCATCATTAGTACCACAGAATATAGGGGTACTTTACAGGGTTACCTGGAAGTGCTGGGCTCCCCTCTCTTTCTCCCTCTCCGTGTCATCCCGCCTCACTCCAGGCAGGGCCTGTCTTGCCTCCCACAGGGTTGGGTTGCCCTGCAGCCCTGCCCTCTGCTCTCCCTCATTTAGCACCCCGTTCTTTCCAGAAGGCCGGGTGCTTCTCACAGGCTGGGACCAGAGCTCCTGAATCACCCACAAAGCCTTCTCCTCACATTGAAATCAATTTCATTGCCCACTGACCCCACTGGAACCGGAATCCCACCCGATGGTCCAGTGCTAGGCGGGGCTTGCCCCCTGCGGCGTATGCCTCCTGCAACAGCCAGAGCAGCCACCCACCCTGTGGCCTCAGTTTGGCGCATCCTGCCCAGCGGTGCCCAGGGGCCCAGGCCCTGGCCCCGTGGGCCTGTGCGGTGGAGTCACAGGTATACACGTGACGTCTCCTCGCTTTGAGTCCTGGGCGGGGCACCTCGTTTTGGGTGCCCGGGGTCAGGAGGGGCTGCGACTTTCCTGGGTGGTGAGTACTTTTCCTGTTCCGCCTACACTGCAGTCTAGCTTCCGTTGGCTTCCACTGCGGGGAGCTCCTGCTTAGGAAACTTGCCCAGAGTCACTGCGGCTTCCTAGCTGGAAGTGCGCTGTCCTCTGCCCTAGGAGACTGTGTAGAACAAGGGGCCACCCTGCAGGCCAGTTCCCCAATCACATG